CGTGTTTCGATTCCCGGCGAAGGCGTTGCACATCTCCTGCTTCCAAAATAATCCTAATGACACTACACATGAATTAATTAATTGATATCATTACGAGTGTATTTATTGAACAGCACTACACCAAAGTAGTGGATAAGTGAAATGTTTTATGTATTTCTCTTTCTAGGGCTATTAACGCAATGTACTAGATTTTAGTTTAGGTCAGAACTTATTGGGCATATGTGACATTTTGTTTTGACGACTAGAGCGTATCTCGTTTAGTATTAATTACACACCACCACATAATGGTGCCCCACCATCACATACTACCAATTGACAACAGATCTCCATCATCTTATTCTTATTGGATCCAGAGTAGGAAACGATCCTATTTTTAAAATGTTCCCTTTTCCATGCAGATTTGTTTTCCTTTCTGGAGAAAATGATTCAGTTTCATGGCGTCTCTTCAGAATTCGACAAACGCTCGATTTCCCAACACCAACAGCAGAACAGCAGAAGCAATATTTCTTGCATTGACAAATGTGAGAGACTTTGTTCTCTTTCTAGACATAGTATCCAATTTTAGAATACTAAAATGAATGAATGCATAATACATGATGGTTATATAATTACAGATTCACTTTAAAATAGTCACCCCTGTACCAAATGTTATTACACGTGGTAACCGTGCAAAGCTGGTCATAGGAATTTTGTTTTTTCCGCGGAAAAAAAAAATTCAAAAACTCACCACCAGGGGCGGAAATGGCGCTGTATGCAATATTGTTAAACGAAATAAGACATGAAGAACATCGGTTTAAAATGTGTTTAATCGTTTCTCCTGACACGTGCTACCAAGCACGTTGTTCAATGTGGAGTCCACCATTTTCCGAAAGCAAGTTAAATCGTATTACTGCATTCTCAACAGCAGCTCTTAGCATATCAGGAGGAATATTACGGACATGTCGGTGTAGCCCATCTTTCAATTCTGCCAAATTGTTTAGATTATTGGCATAAATCCTTTGCTTCTTTATGCCGTAAGCCAATTATAAGCCACTGCGGTTTTTCATAACCCCACAAACAGTTTCATTTCAGAAACGCTTAAATATTTTTTAAACCGATATCTTCATGTCTTATAGGGGCGAATTCTGGCTTCAAAAATCACAAATTAGCGATCTCTCTAACAAAACGATTTCCGGAATGCTCACACTTTTGCGAGAGATTTGCTACCTCACATTTTCTAATCGCTAATGTGTGGTTTTCACGAAAGAATTCCTCCGTTACACGGATAGCGCACTCGACTTTTATCACCTTTAACTTTTAATTTAAATGGTAATTTTCTTTAGGTCAATGTTTCCTAAGGATATACAACATGTTAAACCCCTGTAATAAAAGGCTAAGTTAGAATCGTTACTTATTTTGTCTACCAATATCGCATACAACGCCATTTCGCTCCCTGCTGATGAGTTCTTGAACTTCTTTTGTAGCGAAAAATAAATTCCCATGACCTCTTTTACACGATTTCCAAGTTTGATAACATTTGGTCCAGTAGTTTTCATTTAATGACCAAAGTAGAACTTGAATTACAACCACCCTGTGCATTAAAAGTGTATGCAACAGAAAAGTTACTCTTCTGACAGAAACAAGCTTAAAAATTACCTGTTCTAAGTAGTGAAGCAACGACCAGTGTTAGGGGTAAATTTCTAGCTAAACTCTATCGAATTCGAGGGTGAACAAAATCCCTATTTATCAAAATCAAAGAAATCTGCAACTCAAAACTGTTAGCCCTCGAAATCGATATAGTTTCTATGCTAAAAATCTACGCCTAACACCGGTTGTTGCTTCAATTTTATAATTTATTTGATGCGTGTTTCACATCTGTCCTGTTGTAAGTAGTCAAAAACAGAAAACCAGCTGGCAAACAACTTCTGTGAGAACATTGCTTTGTCCCAAATCATTTGCACGCTATAGTACTTTGAAAACCCAATAACACATTATTAACTACCATTTAATAGTTTATTCGCTGGAGTTCTTAAGTGAAACAGCTAAATACAGAAAGGAAGACAAAGACATATAATATTTCACACCACGTGGTCAAGTATTTGCCCTTTGTCTCGCACTATCCAGAGACAGCAACACACACTTTTGAGGCCGCGCGGGAAGATTAAAGATCTTACTGAAAGCTACAGTTTCAAACAGAAACATAGGGAACCATTTGTTGATGTGAGAACATAGAGTTCTTAGACACACCAATGCTAAAGATACTCGTGATAAACATACGTACTAAAATTTACAAACAAAACAAAAATTAAAGCCCTCATGCAATAAATACTTACACTATAACCTATTTATATAAAGAAGATTGTGTGTTTGCTTGTCCTCTAATAACTCAGTCACTACTATAGCTATCGTCTCCAAACTTTCTACGATTCTTTTCTGTGCTCTAGAAAAGATCGACGTCCTCGATTTTCCAAAAAAGTAGCTAAAATCTGAGATATTAATTAAAAAACTCGAAATAATGATGACTTCCGCCCTCGTTATCCCAGTGGTAACAGTCTCGCAAGCTAGAGATGAAAATCTGCTTTATTTCGAAAGTTGTTGCCACTCCCCGCTTTCAAATCGTAGAGTTTGTTAATAAAAAATTCTAAGTTTTACTATGAAACAAAAATAGCAGTGCCAAACATTAAACACATTATTCTCGATTCCAAAAATTCTTGGGAAGCTATTTCGACTGTTCCCATCTTCGTACGACTTTAATCAGCCGATATATTAATTAACAATTCTGAAAGAGCTCAATTTCGCACTCATTTTTTCGAGTGGCAATAGTGTCGCGCGTTCGAGATAAAAGTATTTTATTTGGAAATGTGTTGGTACTGCTCGCTTTCAAATCGTAGAGTCTGTTAATAAAAAATTTAAGTTTAAAAACTCTATACATATAATTATTCTTCATTATATAACAAACAAACACACAATTTGCATGTTTGTTTGTTTGTTCGCGTTATTGATTTCTTATCAATTACGGTCAATTTGTTGCCAAATTAAATCGACTAAAATTGAATATAGGTGAAATACCAGATGAAACTGATTTATTTGATTTGATTAACTTGATTCGAAAGACGAAAATCATTCAAAACTGCGCGCCATTGTTGCCGATATAATGAGAGATAATTAGTTTATTTCTCTATGGAAATTTTTATGTGGGTTCTATATCGCATCAGAGTGAAAAATGTATGCCTATGAATCGTATTGTTTGCATCGTTATTAGAGAAGGATTACAACGGTATCGTTTTCTTTGTTGTTAGATACATCACTCTCAATCTAACTCAACTGGCATCGGGTACTTCCGCTAGTAATAATTAATATTAAAATACAGAAGAAATATTATAGGCATAATAAAATTTTGACTATTAAAGGGCCGCGCTTTGTATGACAAAAAGATACATTAATAGCGGTTTGTCTTCTCGTAAGTATTTATCCACAACTGGCACAAAGCGTCATGAATCAACCTAGTAAAAACTGCCTACTTAAACAAAGTCTTGTACAGTTCTTATACGGGTCAATGTAAGTTTAATCATATAGTTCAGTCTAAATATGAGCTTGCTTAGCAGTACATAGCAAAAGATCATACTTCATTGACTTGGACATGATACCGCCTCCTGCGTGAACTTACGTTCTCTTTGACAGTTTTGAAGAATAAAGCAATTTTATTAGAGTTTTCAATACCTGCTAAGAAAGACCCTCAGCTTTTGTATAGTCAGATCAGCTTTTTGAAAATTATTATGAATTTCTCGCAGCAGAATAAAAATATACCTGCTGTGTAATTTTTTGAATAATCGTATCCTTTATTGACAAAAAATATTTATTGTTAACTTTATACACTCATAATTAAATGGTACACTGCTAAAAAAAAGAGGCCAGTTCTGTATTTCCCTTTTTACTGGGCCGGTCAACGAAATTCAAACTGCGTTTTTCATGTCTCGAAAGCGCGACTTAGGATACATATTAGATTTATATAAAGCTATTATTTTAACGTAGTTATTTTCACACAAAATCGAACTTTTTGTGAAACGACACATAATTGTTTTTCCATGTTGCGATTCTACGAACCAAATTATGCCTAAATGTTAAATTTTATAATTTTTGGTGTGAAATTGAAAAAATTATGTTGGCTCATTTCTCTCAGTTTGCGCCAAGAATAAATCATTTGGCGAATTCTTAATTTATAGTAACCTAATTCTTCTCCTTTTTTTTTTCATTGATACACGAGAGAAGAAAACGGTCCATCCTTCATTCTTTCAAATAATTTTAACAAAATGCGCAAACCACATTTTCGTTATTATTGCTTATATAAAATACGCCAAATTTCTAAATGCACCAAAATGTAAATTCTCGCTTATCTTCAGAACTTTTAAATAAAAACTCTAAATTTTGGTAAGTAGGCCTAGAAATACATCTATTTTAAGATGACGCTAAACATTGTATAGGTTATAATACAAAAATGTTTACGAAAAATTTATATGAAATATTTAAAAATACAAATTTTAAAGCTAAATCATAAACAATGTGCGAATTATATTTGGATTAAGCCTAAATTTCGAATTCTGGAAGAAGGAATCATGTAAGTTTAATAAAAAGAGAGAAATTAATAAATATATAGCATATATAATTAACATTAAGGAGTTAAAATTTTGAGAGCTGATCTTTTAAAAACTACTCGTGCGATTTTTACAAAACTTGACAGATTGGCGTAATTTGAGTCGTAAACTGGAAATACGGAAACCCATTGGCATGTTATTTCAGAAATAGTACGATTTTGTGTCAAAATACCTATAGTAGAACAATGCTATATATGAATCTAATACATATCCTAAGTTGCTCTTTCAGGAAATGAAAAACGCAAGTTCGTCAAACAGCCTAGTAGAACGGAAGGTAGAGAATTGTCGCATTTTTTTTCCGCAGTGTACATATCAAGGAAATTTTATAGCGATACTTCAGCATAATCAGATTCTACTCTAATTACGTACCTCTGGTGGATCTGTAAGTATCCTCTACGACTTGAGAGAAGATGTCATTACAGCAAGGCATTCCGTCTTCACAACATACGTGCATATTTGCGAAGTACTTGATGCTTTTATGGTTGATGGTGAAATTAGGATATTTGGAAACTTGCTGCTCCAGACTTTTCGCCACTATCATATACGGGTTATTTTGCTCAGATATGATAGAGAATTTTCGCCAACGGTAGTACTGAAGTAAAACTAGTATAGACCGTACAACCTAGAAGAGAAAAAATTTAAGAAAAAATTTTCATTCATATATATATATATATATATATATATATATATATGTTCTTTCTTAGAAAAAGGTAAGAGGTTTAAAAACTTGCTGTTCATATAAGACAGCGGTTTTCAACTATTTCACTAACGTGTACCATCTAAACAAAAACTGGAAAACTTTAGTACTACACCTACATTTTAAGATGATTATTTTTCAGTTCATCAAAAGAAATATTAAAAAATATATATTTTGCCATTTGCACTAACTATTGTATATTTGAGTTAAATAGGCACACATGAAAAATACTAGATTAAAAATTGGTTACCATTTTAATTTGTATTACTTTGTAGAGACATTAGGTTATTTCGAAGCAGGAGAGATGAAAAATGAGCAACGCCTTCGCCGGGAATCGAACCACGGACCCTTGGAAAACGCGCCTAGCGTGCTGACCACCACACTACGAAGGCAAGCTAAGAAGACGGGAGAAATAGCTTATATCTTTAATTCTAAAATTTAATGCGAAATTTGGGACTGTATCAGAGAGATCAATATTTTTATGCCTGGTCTTACTTCACTTAGTTTTTAATGGTAAATTCTGATCCACTTTAAATTTTGTTCTGTATTTATTTTTCTAATATAACATGGAAGAAAATCCTTGTTGACACAAATAGGTTGTGCAAAAAGGCAATAAAAATGTAATAGCCTTATTAGAAATGCCTTTAATTTCTTTTTTAAGATTCAGCCAAATATTAGCACGTGTGTTATTTTTCAAAAATTCAGTATCTTCATAAGAATTACATATTTTACATTAGCTGTTCTCCTGGAGGCAGAATCTGTTTAAATAGGCTGGAAACCTACCATTGTTGGTAATTATTTGGTTAAGGTCCATATCATTCGTAACAGTAATTTTTTACTTGATACGTATATGTCTTAAATAATTAATATTTTTCTGAGATATCTCCCCCTATCCTTCCAGTCTTTCAGCAAAGGATCTTTCATAATGGCAATGATTCCTTGAGAAAAAGACTATTACCATTTAAGAATTTTATGAAGACATTTCTTTTTCCTTTTTTTCTTTTTTTTTTTTCCAATGTCATGAAAAATGGCTGTAACCCCCAGGGAAGCCACTTTGGATAGTGCACCGGCCTTCTCATTACCACACCCTCCAGAATGCGTTTTAACCCTTTGCGGCACGGTGTGCACGGTTTGAGCACACCTAAAAATTTCCTTCTGTATGCAAAATTATCAGTTACTATAGGTTACTCTGAATCTTCTTTATTTATACTAGATCGCAGCACAACACAAAACAGTCTATATATTTTAGCCATGTGTAGTTTCTAAAGACCCTCATTTTTCAAAGAAATCTTCCAGATTGTTTTTAGTATATAAAAGGAATTATTTGAAAAGAAATTCTATGTTATTTTCTTGGCTGTATGCTAATCTTCTTATTCTATATTATTTTTAAATTTTTAGCTTGAAATCTTGCCTAAAATCGAACGGCGAACATCAGGTGTGCTCAGAGTGGGCTCAATGAGAGACTAAGACTAGACCAACAACTGAATCTTTGTTTCTCTGCAGTTCACTGGTCAGTTCATTGACAATAGAAAAGGTGGGTCTACATCTGCGTCTGCGTTTCCCTTCCTGCTTTTCTATTTCTTTCTTTTTTAGGGGGAGGGGGGTGGGGGTCTGGTTATTAACTAAGTAATTGTTGAGCTGATTTTCTGAAGGTCATGAGTAATTTTAGCTGTTAGCAGCTGTTTTTTTTTTTTTTTTTTTTTTTTTTTTTTCTCTTTCACTTTCGTTCAAAGAAGTTTTGTTAGCGCTACGTTCGACAGTTTTGAATTGTAGACGTTTATTTAATTTTATTTTATAGTTTATAATTTCTGATTGTAGATGTAATATGAGTTTATTTTTTTTGTCGGATTTTTAATTATTTTCCAAATGGATCGGAGAGGGCTGACCATTTCTGAATCACTGAAAGTGCTACTTGAATTACTTTTAGATACTGAATCCGATACGGATCCCGGTACATGCGCAAAACATGCAATATTGATTTGTGCTTTTTTAAAGTGGGTGTCACTTTCTTCGAAAGGTACCACCATGAAAAAAATAGACGAAAGCGTAAATATGAAATGTAAATAATGTAAATATCATATACCCAAGTTACGTTTTTTCCATTCATACGCATGTAACCATCATATGACCAAGAAATGCCTTTTAGGGGATTGTAGAGTAGCAGGCCTCCCCGTGGCAAACTTTAGGTAATGCTAAATCTGCTACGATATTCAGAATCTAGTGTTTTGTAATCGTAAGACAAAATCTCTTACTCTTTTACGCGCTTCCCAGCAATGCTCGTTTCAGCATTCTTTCGAAGCTCTATTCATTCAGTGCGCCCGTTGTTTTCTTTTAAGTTTTCAAGTTCTTCCAACTTTTCAAGTTTCTTCTAAGTTCTTTAAGTTGATTTCATTCAAAACCTCATTATCAAGGGAGAGCGCCAGCAGGGCAGACAAAGCATCTGAATATAGAATATATTGAAGGAAGAATATATTGAGAAATAAATTATTAAAATATTCTTTCTTTTGCGACGTGTCTTTTAGATGTTCAGATAATTTTGGATTTACTCGCACATGCAACGTCTCAAAATAAGATGTCAGAAGGGAATGTAACGGCGTTCAGTAATTCATTTTGAGATGTTATATACGTGCTAAAATTATATATATAACTGGAAGGAGGTAATTTACGCCTGATGGGACACTGATGATTAGGAATTGGAGGACACGAAAGCTAGCTGCATTCGTCGCTTCTTCTTACTGCGCATCGTATGCAGAACATTAGAATGCCTTAACCATCCAGCTATTATTTTCATAAATTTTCATGGAGTATTGAGTACACAGATCAGTGGATCCGCAATATTAGCATTTCGCCTTTGAATTAGCATTTGGGTCAGCATTTCGACTTTGAATCCACTTGTCACGTCTTACACGTCTGATAACTTTCGCTATATGTCCTTAGGCTCAACCTTTGTTTTTCCGGACATAGAATGCCCCACACGCCCTAATATAAATTCGCCAAACCTATCCTACACTCGCTTGACGGATTTATTTTAGGATATTCTGTACGCACGTTTCGCTGTGCGTTCGTAAGATGCGTTTTGTATATTTATAAGATATTTCTCCCGCTTTCTTAGCATGCTTTCCTGGTGTAGTGGTCAGCACGCTCGGCGCGTATTCGAGAGGTCTGAGGTTCGAGTTCCGGCGAGGGCATTCCACATTTTATATCTCCTGCTTCGAAGAAATCTAATGTCTCTACAGTAGCGTCCGAACTAAAAGAGAAAAACAGATGGTGAATGATGATCCTCCACCACCAGGATTTGGCAATTGGGTCCCCTAATTCCCAGTCTTCCTTTAATAGAAGGAGTATCTAAGGTACTTCTCTCGCCATCTTAGAATTCCTTCGTATTGTAGTGGTCAGCACGCTCGGAGCGTATTCGAGAGTTCCGAGGTTCGAATCTCGGCGAGGGAAATGTACGTTTTACATGTCTCCTGCTTCAAAGAAATCTTAATGTTTCTACATATTAAACAGGTCTTCGCATTTGCTTATTGATGCTTACTGTTTTAAAAATTGTAAACTATGCGGGGCGGAACTATACAGTTATTGTGGTGTGATTGTACCTGTATGACCAGTGAAATTCTGGCGACTCTTTCACTTCTACCCGTACCCGTATGTTCGTAGGCCCCTTTTTGCTAACCACTAAAAGTGATACCAGAAACGATTGAAGGATATCGACGAAGAGCATTATCAAGGGACATCGAACTTTAATGGTTTTGTCCTGGAACACTCTGCACACCGTAACACTTTAACTTCAGTTAGGAACTTTAACTTAAATTAAGAAAATTTTGACAAAATTTACAGCATCACGCAGCAATTACAGCACTTTTAAAGAAGACTTGTAATCTTGGCAGATTTTAGGCAAACGATGTTTCCGTCATGGAACACTTAGTTTTCTTTATGTTTGGTTTAAGAACATAAAGGAAACTAAGTGTTACATTGAATAGCACATTGATTATAGACGGTGTGACATTGAATAGAACACCGATTAACAATAGAAATAGGTGTTACATTGATCATGTTTCTTCATTGATTATTTCAGTTTTGGCTGACAGAAATTTGAAAATTAGAAAATTTTGTATGAAAAAACGATTACTGAAAATAAGTGATGCCAAATTCACAACTGGCATGAGTTTCAGCTCCCCCCCCCACCGAAATAAAGAAAACCCATCTATGAGTGTGTACCGCAGTATGGTCTTCATTCAATTTACCTTATATACACGAGGGTTACAGGTGAAAACTTTGCGGAAGAAAATGTCGCGGAGAAAACAGCACAAGGGACACAGTACAAGATAAACAGCCCACGTTATCGCACAAAACATCGTGGGAGAAAAAAGAGCAAGGAGATTCGTTTATCTTTTTCGAATCTATGTAAACTAATAATTGAACAAAGTTCATTCTATCAATACTTTAATCCAATGGCAATGTAAAATACACACTGCGTTTTATTTTTCGAATAAGTGTTATGGAATTTGAGTTGAGAATATTATTGAGTGCATTAACCTCATTTTTGTTTAATAATATCAAAACGATATCTTTAGCTGCTGATAATATAAGGTTTTCTTCAATAGTGTGAGCCTGCCCATTCTTGGCAATTCTTAGGCTTACTAGCTTCCAAAGCTTTTTCAATTCAAGTAACAAAACTTTTCTTTACTTGTTTGCTATTTTTGAACTCCGATAATTCCCCCTTAAAATATTCTTCAGATTTATCTTTTATATTGGCACGCTTAGATTCACGATGTCTTTTAGGAAACGATGGTTTCATACTTTGAATGGATAATAGTTTACCGTAAACAATACACTGGGGTTTAGGGACCATTTTGTTTCTATTCCAAGTAAACCCAAATGATAAATAACTTTCATTGTTTCTTCCATAAACAATTTTTCTTTTC